TCGCTGTAATATGCTTTGATATACATTTACATGTTTGTCATGTATCTTACTGCTTAAACTATAAATAAACTCTACAGCTACTCCGTAAGGGGCATCCAGTTTTCTCCACTTCTCTTGTCATTTCCTGTTCTCCTGTTCTTGAATATCCACAGGGTCGAGTCGAGTAATGACACCATCGAGCTCGGCTCGTCAATCAGAAAGCTGGCTCGAACTGGATCCCATCTCATTATAAGTGAGCTGGAGCCGACTCGCCAGCCTAAGCGGTCTAGGCCACCTTTCACGTCGTCCGTATTTCGCGTCCGTACGACTCGTCTGCCTCCGCGTTGCCTCAAGTCCCGCAGTTTGCACAGGTAACCATATATGTGCTTATTAAATGTAAATATTATTAAAATTTAATAAAAAAATGTTTTTTTTAATCCTGCCTAAGCCTAAATTCGAATCAAATCCCGCTCAAATTGCAACAGTGCATGGCTCGAGGCGGACCGCGTTGGGCTCTAAGCAAACGTGGTTACGCGTGTGGACTATGGCACTCGGACAACTCGGAGGCTAACGCCTCGCTCAGTCGCGGAAGGTGGCCCGGATTGCCGAGGCTCGCGAGCCGTCACAAGCATGTTTACAGTGGGACGAGTTCGACTTCGAGCTTGGGTTCGAGCCAGCTTTCTGAATGATGAGTGGAGCAAAATAAAGTCATTACACGACTTAACTCGACTCGTTTACACCCCTATGCATGTATCATTTGCTCTCTCTCTCTCTCTCTCTCTCTCTCTCTCTCTGTCTCTCTCTCTTCCTTTACAATAAATTTAATATTAGCATCAAGCCTTAATCTCACTACATGGGGAGACTAAATGAATGATTTTTCCATTGTGTCATATAAAGAGTCAAACTGATATATCATCGAAAAATTTATATCAGAGAATGAATAAAAGGAAGAGATTCCTAGACCACCGCCGGGCTTCCACGCGGCAGCCGACCGACGCTGGAGATCTGTCTGATCGCTAACTAACGCCGGAATTAAGAAAAGGAATAGAAGGAAGAGGCTCCTCCTCGACCGTCGCCAGACTTATGCCCGTCACTGGACTTCTGCCCAACCGCCAACTGACGCCAGACTTCTACCTGGCTACCAACGAACGTTGGACTTATATCCGACTGCTGATTAATGTTAGTTTTTCTGTTCGACCACCAATTAATGTTGGACTTTTACACTGCTTCTGATTGATGCTGGACCTCCGACAATGGTCTTTCCTATCATTGTCCTCCGTCAACTACGGTCCTTCAGAACTCTGTCGACAGAAAACGGTCCTTCCGACCTCGGTCGCCTATTGACTATGGTCCTTCTAACCTCTGTCGCCAGATAACGATCTTTATGACCTTCATCGCCTACCTACTATGATCCTTTCGACCAAACGAACACGTCAAAAGTGATTCTTTGTATTCCCAATATGTAATGTATTACATATGATGCACATCAAACCAAGGCCTTCCCTCCAAGGAAGTGCCTCATTTGTAATCGACTGCAAATAATAGTGGATTCATTCAAATTGGGCTAGGCCCTGTGCATGTGGGTCAGGAATTTTAACCATGACCCAACCCCACGAGGGTAACTGGGTTGACCCGACCTGACCTATTGATCCATTTTGAGCGGTTAAGGCGTTGAGCGCGCCGTTAGCAGACGGACGGCGAGCTCCCTCATGTCGTCGTCATTGCTTCTGATCCAACTATAAAAGTAAACCGACGAGCTCCTTGTCGTTGGCCCTTCTGTGTTGTTGCTTCTGATCCAATTGTAGATGAACGGTGAGGTTGGTCCGTCAGCCGCATAATAATTAGTTTTTTATTCCAATTATTTTTATTTATTATATGAGAGTATTTTAAATATATACGTTATGTGAATTTGAATTTATTTATAATAATACTTTAGGAAAATATTGCTCTACTATTATAAGAAAATTATAATGATTTATTTTAGTAAAGAATCAAATTGATGTATCTATATTATTTTTCAAAAAAGTGATATACAATTATGTTAATTTATGATTATAATCTTTTTATTTCAAAAGTTAATTTAATTATTTATTAGTTTTTATCAATATTAAATCATTGTAATTTAATTATATGGGCTAAATAGAATTATAAAAGTTAAAATTCATAGCATATCAAATATTTAAATGAATATATTATAAGTAGATAAATCATGTATGAAGTATCCAACATTTATGAGAATATCATAAATTAATTTTGATTTTGATTACTAAATTTTGAATAATTTTGCACGAGTCTTCAATTAATATTATTCCATTATGGAATGTTTGCAGCGGTAGAAAAATAAAGAGTTTAGTGATCTAATTTTGTACGCAGATTCATCACACACACAAATAAATGCGAGGGAGTGCGAGATTTATCTAAGACACTATAATTTTTATTTTTAAAAAATCCTGAAAATATAGAAAAATCATGATCTTTTTGAAATAATATAAATAATTGATGAAATAAATTATTATAAATCAATAAAACATTAAAAACTTAATATATGACCAGTGTAGCAAATAACAAATAAAATTTTATTTAAATATTCATACACAAATTTATTCATTTAAGGTAACAAACTCTGATTACCTATCATAATTTTTTTTTTCTTTTTTTGGACATACCCTCTCGGAATTTTCTCACCTCGATGGAAGTTGCCCACTTCATTTTGGAATTTCGGCATCCCATTTCCAACCGTCGGATCTATTCGAGAACGACTTAGTTGACTTTGTTCGAAATTAACGGCTCAAATCACTCGTATCATCTGAGAAGATATAAAGCATGTGGACAATCTGGAGCCGTTTGCGAAGCGCTTATCCAAAACAGCCAAACAATATTTATCAAATGACGGAAGGACCCTCACGCTTAAAACATTCGGGACGGTGTAAAAGGGATGTCGTTTATGAAATTATCTTTATTTATGTGGGTTGTAATGACATTTCAGCGCATGGATTAGGAGATTCTTTAGTATTTTATTCGTAACGGACAGAATATCAAGTGTGTGCTGGCGAACCCCCAGCTGCCAAAGAACGCGGTGTCCCATTCAACACACGAGCGCGGTGAGGTCGATTTCTGGGTCTACTTTATCGGTCCGCGTAAAGCTTCATCAACAAATTGCCAGCCTTGCAAACCCCCCTATACCGCAGTCGCTTTCCTCTTTTTATTTATATATAAATATAAATAAATTTGAATTGCAAAGATAGAAAATTTTAATCTTATCCTCTCTTCTCGCTCCTCATTTAATGCTCCAAGTCGCGGAGGGAGGGAGAGAGAGAGAAGTGAGAACCACCTCGAACTCTTATTTTTATTTTATTTATTTTTTATTTTTTGGCCAACTTGTAATTAAATCTTTGTTTTTAATATTAATTGAATGAACGCAGGAAGAGGGTAAGTGAAGCGAAACCGCCGCTCTCGGAACAGGAATTGGGAAGAAGAGAGGTGGAATAAAGAGAGAATCGTTAGAGAGAAGCTGCAAGGAGGGAGCAGAGAGAGAGAGGATTTCTTAGTAATCAGGAATATTTTGGTCGGTGTTTGATTAAGGCAAGGTTGTTTTTTCTGTATGAGATTCGTTGCCGTGTTTGTTTTGATTTTATTTTCTGTTTTTATTGAAATATATTTGTGTTTCGGGTGGAATTTGGCTTCTGTTTTTTGGTATTTTGGCAAGAATGGAAAGAAATCAGATGCGATTTCTTGTTCATGTAAGGCGTGAGGAGGGGGAGGAGATTAAATAGGGGGTAGGGGGAAGGGAGGAGGGATTTGCTTGCGATTTGTGGTTAATTGATTGATTTGTTTGGTGCAGCGGATCCTGTTCGATTGGGCAAGATGATGTCGAGATCGTACACGAACCTTTTAGATCTGGAGGCGGGGAACTTTCCGGCATTTGCTGGTGGAGGGTTGGGGACGGGAAAACGCTTACCGCGGGTGATGACGGTGCCGGGGACTCTTGCGGAGCTAGAAGAAGAGGAGCGGGCGAATAGTGTGACCTCCGAAGTGCCATCCTCGCTTGCGCAGGACCGAATCATCATCGTCGCTAACCAGCTCCCTTTACGGGCCAAGCGCCGACCTGACGGCCGGGGTTGGAGCTTCTCATGGGATGAGACCTCCCTCCTCCTGCAACTCAAGGACGGTTTGCCCGAAGATATGGATGTCATCTACGTCGGCTCCCTTCGCGTCGAAGTTGAAGGACACGAGCAGGACGAGATATCCCAAACTCTTCTCGAGCGGTTCAAATGCGTCCCGGCTTTCCTCGAGCCCGACCTCTTGGATCGCTTTTACCACGGATTCTGCAAGCAGCAGCTATGGCCGCTGTTCCACTACATGCTACCTTTCTCCGCGGACCACGGTGGCCGTTTCGACCGATCTCTTTGGGAGGCCTATGTCCTCGCCAACAGGGTCTTCTCCCAGAAGGTTATCGAGGTTATCAACCCCGAAGATGATTATGTGTGGATTCATGACTACCATCTTATGGCCCTCCCCACTTTCCTCCGCCGCCGCTTCAATCGCCTCCGGATGGGATTCTTCCTACACAGCCCATTCCCTTCTTCGGAGATCTATCGCACCCTCCCGGTGCGTGAGGAGATCCTGAAAGCCCTTCTCAACTGCGACCTGGTTGGCTTCCACACCTTCGATTATGCCCGCCACTTCCTCTCCTGCTGCAGCCGGATGCTAGGCATTGAGTATCAGTCCAAGCGCGGCTATATAGGACTCGAGTACTTTGGTCGTACTGTGGGAATCAAGATCATGCCGGTGGGTATTCACATGGGGCAGCTGCAATCAGCCCTCGCCTTACCGGATAAGGACTGGCGCATCTCGCAACTCCAACAGCAGTTCGCTGGAAAGATGGTCCTCCTAGGTGTCGATGACATGGACATATTCAAAGGTATAAATCTCAAGCTCTTGGCCTTTGAACAAATGCTGAAGATACACACCAAGTGGCAGGGCAATGCTGTCCTCGTGCAGATTGTCAATCCTGCAAGGGGAAGGGGAAGGGATCTTGAAGAGATCCAGTTGGAGATTCAGCAGAGCTGCAGGAGGATCAATCAACAATTTGGGAATGCTGATTACAAACCTATTGTCTTCATTGATCGGCCAGTATCAATCGAGGAGAGAATTGCCTACTATACGATCGCAGATTGTGTTGTAGTCACTGCAGTGAGGGATGGAATGAACCTTACACCTTATGAATACATTGTCAGTAGGCAGGGAATTGCTTCTGGATCGGATTCTGGTTCTGTTTCAGATGGTCCAAAGAAGAGCATGCTTGTGGTTTCTGAATTCATCGGATGCTCTCCTTCGCTTAGCGGGGCAATTCGAATTAATCCTTGGAACACAGAGTCGACGGCAGAGGCTATGAACGAAGCAATATCAATGAATGATGTAGAGAAGCAAGTTCGCCATGAAAAGCACTACAGTTATGTCAGTTCTCATGATGCTGCTTACTGGTCTAAGTCATTTATGCTCGACTTAGAGAGGACATGCAAGGACCACTTCAAGAAGAGATGCTGGGGAATTGGTTTGGGATTTGGTTTCAGAGTTGTTGCACTCGATCCGAATTTCCGGAAGCTCAACATTGATGGTATTGTTTCAGCCTATCAGAGGTCTAAGAGCCGAGCCATTTTGTTGGATTATGATGGCACGGTTATTCCACAGGCAGCCATTAACAAGACACCAAGTGCAGAAGTTATCTCTATTCTTAACACACTTTGTGGTGATAAAAAGAATGTAGTCTTTATAGTTAGTGGCAGGGGTAAGGACAGCTTGGGGAAGTGGTTCTCTCCTTGCAAAAACCTTGGAATTGCTGCAGAGCATGGTTATTACTTGAGGTAATTTGCAAATTGCATCAGAGTTGTAGATCAATCTTTATATACCCGTTAGATCCACATTTTTTAGATTTTAATCATGCAATAGATCTATCTAAAAAATATCTGTCATCTCTTATCTTGAGGTAATCTTGGTAAAGTATTACTTGTCCAGAATGGTTATTCCAGATTAAGCGCTAGCTAGATTATAAAAGTTTTGATATCTAGAAGTAATGGAGAAATTAGAAGAATGAATAGACTTAGGCTTCGTTTGGGACGGCTTTCATACTGCTTCTTAAAGCAGTTTTCTAGTAGAAAATTTTTAATTTTTATGCTAAAAAGTTGCTTTGAGAACCAGTAAGAAAGCCATCCCAAACGAAGCCTTAGCTAGTATATTACCATGATTTTCTAGCAAGATAACATTGAACCTAGCAAGATAACTGTAAAACTGCATTTTACAGTTGAGAATTCTATCGGAATGATTAAGTTTGCTATTTAGTTAATATTTTTTTTATCAGCGTTCAATGGAGCATCCCTTATTTATTAATTTCTGAACGTAGAAAAATTGTTTCTACCATTTTTACTAGACATGGATTATCATTTTATTAAACTATATGTTAGCGTTTCTGCTGCTTCATGGTAACATCAACATGTGTAACGTGAAATTTAGTAAAAAAATTTCTCCATGCTTTGAGCAGATCGTTTGATTAATAAGTTATGATGTTTTAGGTTTTATTCATATTTCATTTTTGATAGCTTCAAGCCTATCTTAATTTCTTTGCAGATGGAGTCAGGATGAGGAATGGGAAACCAGTGGCCAGAGTGCTGATTTTGAATGGATGCAAATGGCTGAGCCTGTAATGAAATTGTATACAGAATCAACTGATGGGTCCTCAATTGAGAAGAAAGATAGTGCTTTGGTGTGGCACCATCAGGATGCAGACCCAGACTTTGGATCTGCTCAAGCAAAGGAGTTGCTTGACCATCTGGAGAGCGTTCTCGCTAATGAACCTGTGTTAGTCAAGAGCGGCCAGTTCATTGTTGAAGTCAAACCTCAGGTCTTGTATCTCCTCAAAGAACATTTCTCTACTCATCAACATTTAGGCTTCGTTTGGGGCAACTTTTTTACTGCTTTATAAAGCAGTTTTTTAATACAAAAAAAATTTAATTTTTATACTAAAAAACTACTTTAAGAAGCAGAAAGAAAATCCTCCCATTCGTTTGGGATGGCTTTTTTAATACTTCTAAAAGATTCTTTAAGAAGCAGTAAGAAAGCCGTCCCAAATAATAGAAATTATTAGGTTCGGACACCTAATAGAGAGAATCATTCGGATTTTTCTCTGTCTACAGTAAAAGCTCAGTTAAAGCGCAGCTGCTACAGTAACAGCGCTTTGACTGCACTTTTACTGTAGATAACAGCGCTTTGACTGCGCTTTTACTGTAGACAGAGAAATACGGATGATTCTCTCTCCGGTGTTTGGACCTAATACTTTACCCCCAAACAAAGCCTTATACAACAATGTCCAATCTATTCGGTGTCTAATCAACATGTAATCTCTTCTTGTTGGCATTTTAGGGTGTCAGTAAAGGTATCGTTGTGGAGAAGATCTTATCCTCAATGGTTGGAAAACATAAGCAGGCAGATTTTGTGCTATGCATTGGTGATGATAGGTCCGACGAGGACATGTTTGAATGCATAAGTAATTCTCTATCAAAGGATCTGGTGGCACCCAACACATTGGTATTTGCTTGCACCGTTGGCCAGAAACCGAGCAAAGCAAGGTACTATCTCGATGACACTGTCGGCGTAACGAACATGCTCGGAGCTCTTGCAGATGCCACCGAACCACCGCCACCTTCATTTGATTCTAAACCAGAGTCTTCTTCCCTCCCAACTGAATTCAAATCTGCACAATCCTCCACATGAAGTATTTGCTTACAAAACTCAATTTTGCTGATGAATATGGAGTTCAGGAAAGAAGATGATATAGATATAAATATTATATATATACAAATATATATACTTGGCTCTTGATGGAACTTGTTACATATCGACGGAACATTTGAAGCCCAAACAGGTTCGCTTTCTGATTGCTAGCAGTTTTTAATTATCTTGACAGATGGATGATTCTTTTAGTCTGTGAATAGGAAATGACGCTACTACAGAAGAAGCAGATTTCTGTTTTTTTTTTCCTTTTCACTGCCAAATTAGGAGTATTTCTGGTAGGTAGAACGCCTCTATTGAAATGATTTCGCTATTCAACTTGTGCAATGATGGTTGGAAGCCTGATTTATTGACAAATGGTTGTGGCATCTTCTGATTTATTTTTTATTTTGTTGCCCATAATTAATATAAACCGCGAGTTTGTCCTTTTTTGTAGGAATTATATTCCATAATTTATTTTTTTTGTTGATTTTTGCTCTTTTCTAGATCTTTGACAGACATTACCTTCTCTTTTATTTTCTGTTTTGTGAACAATATGGAAAGATAGTGAAAGGAAAGGGAAGTCTTTGTTGTTATTTTGTCGCATTTTTACCTAATTTTTGCTTGGAATTAGAAACAAAATCACAAGTAGCTATTGTTCTGTGTGTTGTAATGCATGCAATGTGTGATGAGATTGGATACTCTGGGCGAGTACGGTTGGGAAACCCCTCAACAAGGATGAATTATTCTGTGCGGACGTCGAACGCCATTCAGAGCAATGAAAATGCTTCACGTTACCCTCCTCGGTACTGGATGATGTGGCTGCACTTGTTTCGTCTCTAGACGAAAAGTTGTGTCTGATGTCCGTATAGAATAATCTCTCTCCTCAACAAGTGTTCTATTCCCCTCAAGCGGCATCACATCTTGAGTGGGACTCAATCAACTGCGGGCTTGAAGGTTTTTAAGGTGTGTGTCTCTTCTAGGTCAGCCGATGATGCCAAGTGTCCTTTCGGGGGTGACATACCCGGAAAAAAAAAAAGATTGGAGTGCACAAACCCATGTGATAAAACTGTCCATTTTCTGCATTCAGCTTTGAAGTTTTGAGTCGTCAATTTTAGGAGGGTGATGCTACGAGAAAAACGTTTTTGAGGAATTTAATGTTTCTCAAAGTTTGATCCAGTCTACCAGAATAGACCAATGGCTTGCTGGGAAGACGAAGAGATTTTGGAAATTTCATTCTAAAATGAATAAATATGTTTTATATATATAATTACAGCTGGAGGATGAAGAATTCGCCCCACAAGTAGTACGATGTTGTTATATTGCCAGCTTTCATTCTTATATCAAAAGTGTCCTCTGTCGCTATGTATATGTTCTTTACTGACGGTGCCATAATTTTTTTTTAAATGATTTATAAATTGTTTATTTTAATAGTATCCAGGTATTAAAAACAGGATCAGAAGGGCCGGTTCAACTGCGGCATCTTACTGAGTTTCCCCATCATCTTTTAGCAACAAGCCCTATTAATATTTGTAATTGATATTTATAATTTTGAATTATGAAAAAATTTTAAGTGATAAATTACATATTTAAGTGAAAAAATTATAATATTAAAGGCTGATTGAAGATACAGTGATAACATTTGAATTTAGGGGTTTTTATATAAATAATATTTAAAAATATTATAATTACATGTCTAAAATAAATTATACTTTTTTTATTTTTCTATTTTGTAAATATTATTTCACTCATTAAAAATATTACTCCGTCAACTCTTGTGAAAATCCTTAAATTCATGCCGACCAGCCTGTGGTGAAATATCACAAAGGGCATGTGAAAGTATCGGATGATATTTTTAGAGAAGTTAATGGAGCAGTATTTTATATGAGTTAAATATTATGAAGGTGTTAGAAAAGTAAAGAGTGTAATTTAGGTATTAGGTATGTAATTACAATAATTTTCGATGTTATGTTTGTAAAAATCCCTTGAATTTAATTTGTCTTGAGAGGGGTATTTTTGAATCTCAAATTAACCATCTAAGCATTAAGAAAAGAGCAGAAAATTCTAGAACATGAGGATGATAAGCGGGATCATTTGTATTTTAAAAATAATATTAAATTATTTATTTTAAATATAAAAAGGAATACTAAAGTGTTTAAAAAAACCTTAGGGACACTCTTCCAGGTGCAAACCTTCACATCCTACCCTCCTTTGATGCCATCGATCGAAGGAATTTCCCCGTCGTCGTCTTCTTCCATGGCGGTGGATTCGAGTTCCTCTTTATCGACAACTACTCTGATCTCTTACGCAAAACCTCTAAGTTGCTCGATATGACTATGGCATATCGGCCACAACCCCCTCCGATTCATCGATTTTGGCGGAATCGATGCCGTCGCCAGGTATCTTGCCGATTCCTGTGTTACTTACATCTCTTCATCGCATCATGCAGCTACCATGGTCTTCTTTTCTTCCTCCCTTAGGTCCTTCAATCCGTAGATGCCTCTTTGTTTATGAATAATTTCTTGTTCCTCTCTTATATTAGTGCATCTTCTTCTGCCAGTGGATATTAATAGAAGTTACCCGCAGCTTGCTATAAAGAAAAACCACTAAAGATTGATCTTAAAGATTGGGGGAGATCGATGACAATCGATTTGGATTTTGGAAGGTTGATTTTCTTTGTTCACAATCTCAGTTATCTATATTCGCAATTACAGGTATCTAATATATCTATTCGATGCTATCGATGATTTAATTCGTTGATTTTCATGAATTAGATTGACAATGAGAAGTAAATAAAATATATGGATAATCACATTACTTCGACTCGGTTTAGAAGCTCATAAAATTTTTATATTAGGTGTATTATATTAAGGGATGATGTTTAGTAGCTAATTTTTTTGTATTATTAGCTTTTAAGATTTAAAAATAAGGTGAGAATGGGCAATTAAATGAGATGAGGGTGTTGGATTTAAACCATCACATAGAACCATTTGTTAAAAATGCTAACTATTTTTTTTATATATAATTTGAATGAGGAATAATTTAAGTAAGGTGATGATAGGCCAACGACTTGATTATTCTTGATGATCAGATACTTACACTGAACTAAAAGTCAAGTGACACGAGATCAATTTAATCATTTTTTTTAATAAAAGGAGAGACCAAACAACCGAGAAAATTAGATTCAGATGTTAGGTGATAAGTATCAAATGCCACTAATTAATAGGCATAAGATGTTGATCGACAAGAATGTTGAATATTGAGCGATGGTGCGCTATCAACTTAGTTGTTCTTCGCAGTGGATGGGAGATTTGATAACTAGGAAATAGAGTCAAATGTCTATTAATTAGTGGAGCTATAGTCATGATTTAATCCTCAAATTTTGTTCAAATTTTATGAGTCAACTCACCGTCACTTTGAAAACCAATATTAAAGAATAAGTAATGTCGGGATGTTACGATTATCACAATTAAAGCTCTCAAAAACACATCTTAAGGGTCTATTGGGAAACCTCTTTGGAGCTCATTCACAATTTCCTCTTAGGTATTCAAATTTTCTCATGTAAACCTTGAATAATATAAATCCGCTCATAAAATCTTAAATGTCGTCTTTAATAAACATTAAAGACTCGAATATGTTATAATGCAACAAATGAAGATATAAACCAATTCATGTAAGTTGTGGCATCAAACTCATATACAAACTAATGCAATTCATAATGCAAGATATGAGCCTTCCTCTACAGGGTTGAAAAAACAAAAGAAAATAGTTAACCTAAATTTTTCATAATTAAGGCTATAATTTATATTTTACTTGAGAGGTGAAACTTCTTAGTTAACTACTCTCTTAGTTCCGAAAAACTATTGTGTTCGGACAGGGTACCGAGCATACCGAGCGGTTCCGAGCTCGGTACCGAGCGCCCAGTGATGTGAAGCTTTTTTATTGGTCTCTGGATGTGTTCGGTGTCCGGACACAAAAATTACTCCTTAGTTCATAACCTACCTTTAGAAAAAACTTTCCCTCAAGTTGACTTCATCTTTCCATATCTTCAGGGCTGGTTTGGTTTATTGAAGATAGGAAAAAAAAAAATGTTAAAATGCATCTATTTCCTCTTTTTTAAATTTATTTTGTACTTCAAAATAAATCATTCTAATGATTTTGAAATTTAAAAGGTCATGTTAGTTTTTTATTACGCCCAATCAAATACTAAAATTAAAAAATAATCATTTATATATGTCATAAAGTAAATATAACTAAATGCTAGGTAGAACAGTGCTCTTCAAACCAATTTTGCTCCACACACAATAATTTCATTATAATTTGCTCTTTATTTTGTTATGTTTTGTAATTTATGCAAATATTTTGTACAATAATAAAAATATATGGAATTTGTATTTTGGCGTTAATATTGATGAACTTGAGAAGCATCACTCTTCCAAATATTATCTTTTGGAGCTGTGATCAATAAAGTTATAAGATAAACGCTTGCACGAAAGTTATTATCTGTGATGTATTATTTTATTTATTTACTTTAATGAATATACAGTTGTGTTTCATTTCAAAGAAATGAAACAAGGAGATAATTTTTTTTTTTTAATTATTCAACCTACATTTCTCTATTTCTTTTCTTACTTTCTAAGTTGTTGTGTCCAGGAATATTCGCGAGACAGAGAAAAATGAAGTTTAGCGTCTTAGCATTGTACGAAGATCCAGCACGCAAGCAGAAAGAGAGAGATCAAGACACCCGATCTTTTTTATCTGGAAAACCCGAAGAGGGAAAAACCACGGAGCCTCGCCCATGTGAAAAGATTCCACTAAACTTGACTGAATTGCAAGGGTTGACCCGTCCCTCGATTTAGAGGTGGTCAGATTACAGTAATTTGAAGAGTTAGTCAAAGGACCGATGACGGTCGTACAAAAATCCGACGGCTTTTATGCAGAAGTTTGGCTGACAAGGTCTGATGGTGAACGGCGGCCACGCGGTGGTCCGACGATGGCCTAGCTGAAGTCCAACAGAGGTCGGCGGCCGGGCTGTGGTTCGACGATGGTCGGCGGATGGGCAGTGGCCCGACGAAGGTCTGGCAGAAGTTCGGCAGCGGCCGAGCAGTGGTCCGGCGATGGTCGGCAGCCTGGCGGTGGTCCAACATAGCTCGGGATGAAATCCGGTGACGGTCGGACTGCCGGTAGTGGTCCGACGTCGGCCGGCAGCCAGGCGGTGGTCCAACGTAGGTCGGGCTGAAGTTCGGCGGCCGGGCGGTTGTCCGACGAAGGTCAGGCTGAAGTCCGACGACTGTCGGTGGCTGGGCAGTGATCCATCGGCGGTCGGCAGCCGTGCGGTGGTCCGACGTAGGTCAGGCTAAAGTGCGGTAGCGGTCGGGCGGTGGTCCGACGAAGGTCGGGCTGAAGTCCGACGGCAGTCGGCGGCCGGACGATGGTCCAACGAAGGCGGTCGACGGCTAGACGGTGGTGCTAGAGCTCTTGAAGCTTCAGAGCTCTCCCTAATCTCCAGCCAAGCTGCCCCTCATGTAGAGAATGGGGGTCTATTTATAGATTTTCATGCAGACATTGCTAGTGTCGAGCATCAATGTTAAGGTAGTGTCAGAGTTTTATGATGAGATGATTTCGAAATGTCGATTTTATAATGACGTTAGACGTCAATATTGAGAGGACATCATACAATATTGTGAAACCAAAGTTTTGTCCTGCCGAAGAGAAATGAAAATGAGAATATTCGATGAAAGGGGTATTAAATGCGGGCGATTGATTTGGTCTTATGGATAAGAAATAAGAAGTTTAGTTTAATATTTTAAATAAATACAAATTTTAAATACAAAAAAAATATATTTTTAAAAATTCATAAAATATTTAAAACACGAGTGTCGGATACGCGTGTCCAAGTTGTATTTAATATTTTTTTTATTGGACACGCTTTTGACTTGTCCGACACTTGTTAGAGGCGTGTCAGATACTTTTCGTGTCGGACATTACACTCCTCTTTAAGGAGACGTGTTGGTGCATCATATATTGGATGCAATCCAAATGTTTAAATCTAATGCATGCTACCAGAAATATGGTATTTATTTATTTATCATACTTGTTTGATTGCCGAGTAAAATGTGATTTTCCGTCATTATTTTTATCTTTAGTGATATTTTCTTCTAAAATGTAATTAAAAAAGTTATTTAATCACTGTTTTATAACTAATTATGTTAAATTTTTTTGCTCAAATAATTTATTTCCATGCTTTTAGTGCATATAGGATTAGAGATATAACTAAATATGTCCTATTTAGTCACACATTTTAATAAATACAACTATTTTTTTTCTAGTATTTAATCATAGTCTTAAATAATGCTGGTTATAACTTTGAATTATAATAGTATTAGAATAAATGGAAAATAAATTTAGGCCAATTTTTTCAAAATGGTTATTCTAATTAATGGAGAAACGATGAATCTTGATTTGCTATTTCTTCACAATACCAGCCTGAATGAGAAAGGTGGAGACATTCTTCCTCTGATCACCTTGGAGTTGAATGACCTGTCCAAGCTCTGGATCCTCCACAGCAGTACCATTACAGCAGAATTCTTTCTTCAGGTCTTTTAAGATCTTAGATTTACTGTACTCTTTCTTCAGCCCCAGAGCAGTTGTCAGGCTTTTCCTCCCATTACGCTGCTGAACACGAATTTGCACGTACTCCTTTGACCCATCACCAGCATTATCAGCATTAGCCTCAGCAAAAGGATCAAAGGAAGCAGGAATCTGATCGTCGAGATCAGACATGAACCTTGCTTTTTGGAGTACAGATGGGAAGCAACAGAACTAAAGTTTTCCCTCACAAGCATTAGCAACCAGATCTAGATGAAATCAAGAAGATAAATTAATTCCTGCCTTTCTTATAGACTGAAGTAAATCAAATCAAGAGAAGGATATTTGTTTCCAAACAAATTATTCAAAATGAATCTCTAAAGTGATTGGATTAATTTCTCATTGGTATTTACATGCAACATATATAATATTTTAGGCATCATAATGGTATTCTATCATATTATTGAAAGCGTATTTGTTTTTCCGACGTCATCACTTTTTGTTCGGAGATTCCTTTGAGTTAGACTGATGATAGGTGTATGTTATATTTGTGTGTTAAGGTCAATCAATTCTTAATGGGAACTTAAATCGAATAATTCAAAGATTTTGAACCGACTTGAACTAATCATATCTTGATACTCATCAAGCATTGAGTCAAGTAAAACTTAAATCATCTAAGACCGAATGTTGCCAATAAACTCATTGGCCTTACTCAACCCTTAATACTAGGCTATTGAATTGTTCTAATAATTGGGAGGTCTACTATTCACAAGGCTGCTCACATAAGGAACCTAACTACTCTTTTTAAGAGCTTATCAGCTAATTAGGCTTTTTAACCAAAACAACTCATCAAAGATATTTTCCCTCTATTTAGACTTGTATAAAGTTCTTGACTTATAACCAATAACAAGTTAGAATTGTCCACTACATCATTAATTATATTGAGTTCAACTCTTGTACTTAATATATAATAAATAGCATCATATAGCTAAGTCTCTAATATCATATTTGATTCTCATTCAACTATTGTACTTATCCACTCTACTATATTCATCTTAGAATCTTTTTCTTCTTATTTTTAATCATCTCTTCTAACTCGTCTCTTTTAACTAAGTTTTATGCGTTTTTCTCTATCGGAAGAGTTCAATTGGATATGTCTGTTTAATCAAGGAGAAGCACTAAGACTTAGGGTTTGTTTAGGACATCTTTCATAATGATTTCTAAAATGATGTTTTAGTAAAAAAATTTCTTGAATCAAAAGTTTTTTGTTCTAAAAAATTGTTTTAGAAAGCAATGAGAAAGTCATCCCAAACGAAGCCTTAATCCTCACTCTCTACTCATGTAATCTTATATATTCATCTCTAGTAGGGTCAACATCATCTATAGACTATAAAGTAATTTTTTTGACTTCAAGTGACAAATCATCACATAGTTTATGAGTGCTCCAAAGCTGATAAGGGCATCTCCAAAGGAGAACTCCAATTTTCACGGCAAAATACAGTAAAACTCCAACATGTCGTGCTACTGCTCCAATCGAAGTGCATTTTAAGTACTTCTGATTAGGTAATGATCCTTCTCCCTTTTGCACGTTTTTCCATTTGAGAGAGCAAAATAGCGTAGGTGAACAGTGCAACGCCAATAGTGGTGTCGCACTGTTCACCCCCAAGTAAATGGCGGAAGATTTGGCGTTCGGCTGGAGCGACCGCACGACGCCATAAGCACGTTTGACGTTCGGTTGAAGATGCTCTAAATAAATATCATTTCTGCAGAACATCAAACAGAAGCTAGTGATTCAATATGCCACTAATTTGTGACTCACTTCCACCGAGAAATCTAATCATCCCTTATGTTTTCTGTGCACCTAATCTATTTTAAGATAATTATTCTCTAGGTTTACTAATTATTATAATGGAAGAAAAAATAAATAAGATTATCATCATCTTCTGTTAAAAGAGTGATGATGAATATCATTTCCAAGAGCTCGTTGTGCATGACAAAAGATCATAATGGAATAAAAAAAAAAGAGAAATTACAAAAATTAATAAATAAAAAGCTATGAGAGAATATATTAATAAAAAATAGATTAAAATGTATTACTTATTAGTATCATCCAAGCTCTTCCAATGAGAAATTGGATTAACTTTAGCCAATAAAATATTTCACTATAATTAGGGTGTTAATCTGAGTTATGAGTTAGATTAGAGCTTAAGATAAGAAAATATATATTAATCATATATAATTAATTTAAAATTATCATATTTATTACGTAGGAAATCGTAACCAGAACTATCTAAATTAAATTCAAATTTGGCCCCAATATGACATAATAAATATTAAAGTTTTATTAAATTAGTATCAAATCAACTCAACATAATTAAATAATAATTATTCTAAAATATTTAATATGAGTTAAAATTAAAAATAAAATAAAAAAATAATCAAATGCAAAATTTATTATTTGAATTAACTCGTTTTTTTTTAAGATAATTTATGTTGATATGGACGCAATAAGAATCTTATATGGATAGATTCAAACCCAAAATTTTTATATCGAATTTAAGTTGAATTTATTTTGACACCTGTTATCTATTATTGCTAATAATTAAATCTTCACGTTGCACCCTTCACCCTAAATTCTGTAAATAATTATTATTATTTACATAATGCCTCCCACGACTGCAACATAAAGGCGAATAATAATTATTATTATTATTAAAAATATATAGAAAATGAACAAACGAACAAAATTGTCACAACTCATTTTGTGCTAAATGCCAATCGCCTTCCTCAGAATCACTGTCAGCCGATAAGCTTAATCTTTCTTTCTTTCTTTCTTTCTTCTTTTAATTTCTTATACTCACCCATTAAAGAAGAAAGATGCCGAGCTTCAGTTATACTGATCTAAAAAAATCATTTAGGAAGGAGAAATTATTCTGTGTGGATGCCGAAAGTCATCTACAGACCAATCAAAATAAGTCACGTCGGAATCGTGGCTCAATACTGCTCAGTACTGCGGTTCGGTACCACTTAGTACCGCTCGATATTACTGACGTTGCTCATTCTGATATTGTATCTGAATATAGAGCCACGTTCCAATGACCCAATACAATTTATTTGATGCAATATTTATAAAGCTTTAAAGTTCTAATAGGCTGAAGATAAAGTAAAGGAGTCACACATGCTGGTCAAAAAAACAGAGTTAGGCAAGTTTCAGCTAGCTTAATAATAGAATCTATGAATCTGATAGTTTGAATAAGTGAGCATAAGATTGAAAAAAGTACAATTGACAATAAACATAAGATTTTCCAAAAAAAACAAACAATAAACATAAGATTTTAGCTAAATTAGGTCTAGTATAAGATTATGATTCTTCTTTATTGAAATTAGAGGATTGCAAAAGAAAATAGGATATGTCATGCGATGGTTTTTGAAGTTACAAAGGGAGGGCTTTAATGGTTTCTCTTATTGATGAGGTAGGGGGGTTAAAAATGATTTTCTTGTTTTTAATGCTCTCGTGATTGAAGAATCTTCTTTTGTGGGTATGGATTAGTTTAAAATGCATGCATAGAAGAGCCACCATAGGATTTCCTTATGACCACGCTACCATTGGATTTCCTTATGACCACCAACCGTCGTTGATCGCCCTCCAACTACGGTCCTTCTGATTTCCATCTCCAATGAACCACTGTCCCTCCGACCACTATCACCCTACTATGATCCTTCCAATCTCCATCGTCAGTCAATCACGATCTCTCTAACCATCGTCGCCCGACTATAATCCTTCCAACCTCCATCGCACGTCGACCAAAGTCTCTCTGACAACCATCGCCCAACTACAGGCATTCTGACCATTGCTTGACTACGTTGTCCTTCTGACTATCGTTACCTGCCAACTATGGTCCCTCCAACCATCGTTGCATAACTACGATCCTTCTGACCACAGTTGCTCACTGATTACGGTCCTTCCAACCATCGTCACACTACTACGGTGCTTCTGGCCTTCATCACCTGCCGACTATGGTCAATCCGACCATTGTTACTCAACTATGGTACCTCCAACCTCTGTCACTTGTCTACTATCCTCATTCCGACCACTGTCACCCGTTGAATACAACTCCCTTTGACCTCCTTCGCCCTACTACGAACTTATAAGTCTCCATCACTTGTCAACTACAGCCCCTCCGACCTTATTACCCAAATACAGTCCTACCAGCTGAAAGAGTACGCCAACACTCTCTTGAGAACAACTCTCATAACATTGGGTTCTTCCAGCCCCAACAATATAAAGTGTTATATATGATATATCTTTGCTACATTAAGCCAACGCCTTCCCCCAAAGAAGGGCATCATTTATAATTAACAACAAACACTAGTTGATTCATTCAAATTGGGCAATGCCCCATGATTTTTCCTTTTTTTAGGAGTTTTCACGTAAAAATTATGGTTTCTCTTATAAATGTAGCATCTCTCTCTTAATTATCAATATACAAATAAAACAAAGCATCTTCATCTTCCCCCTAACCCCTAAGTGTACAGGAAAAAAATTATCAATATACAAATAATACTTCAAAATTACATATTCCTTAAGTGTACAGAAAAAACTATTATTCCTCTTTTCTTTATCGACTTTTCCTCAAAACCAATCTTCATCTTCAACGGTTTCTCTACCTCCCGACCAATTTTCATCTATTCAGCTTTTCCTGTATCCCAACCAGTTTTCATCTTCATTATTTTCTTCTCCTCCAAACAAATCTTTATCTTCATCGCCTTGACCTCCTCTAGACCAATCTTCATCTCCTTGACCCCTCCAGACTAATTTACATCTTCATCGGTTTTCTCTCATTTTTCTTTCTCAACAGCTATGAAACATTTTTTGAGCTAAAATCCTAAAAAATATGAAATTTTAATTTCATTTAAAAAAAGAGCGTCACTGCCCAACCTTAAAATTTAAACAAGATTTGTTCTAGGTCAGGTCAGTCGGGCTAGAAAAAAAAAAGAAATAGAAAAGAATATCCACCTATATAGTGCAGGTGTCACGATTTTATTGGAGTTCGGACAGAAATCTACGTTCGGACTCTATATCGAATAAAAATTCCAAATAAGGAATGGTGGTCCTTTGTGGGGAAAATGCACCTTAAATGAACTGGTGAAAAAAAAATCTTTAAAATAAAAACTTCAAAGCGAATAATGTTGATAATTAAGGGATAAAACTATATATTTTGAATATTTTGTTTGGGAAAATTAAAAGTGTGACTATGGAGCTTAATGATGTCACGACCCGACCCGAGACGAGACGGATCCCGCCCGCGCTAGATCGCGACGGAGCTGCACTAACCAGGATCTAGCTTTGGAATTTGGTTCGGAACTGAATACTTCGTCCGGACGAACCTGGAGCAAAAACTGATATTACAAATGAGTTGTGAGATTTTTGTTTATAAATGCTAACTAGAGTGTTATGTTGAGTGCATTAAACTATGGAATGTGCTAGGCCCCATCATCCAACTCAAAGAAAAATTTTGTGATGGACTACAACATAGACTTCTAAAAACTCTTATTAGAACGAGAATTGTCCTTTCACATCTCTTGAAATAATATAGGGAGGAATATTTGTGGACATTTGTAAGACATACCATTTCATGAAGTGCAAACATCATATATTATGCCATGATTAGAAGTTTTTTGAGGACTTCGATGCATATATTAAGATAAATTTGTGACATGTGGACCCTATGAGGTATGTAGAGATTGTATTAGTGGTCATAACAAGATGAGAACATCTATGATCGATGGAATTTCATGACCCGGATTTCACTGATATGCAAAGAACGTGACTGCTTGATATATACGCCATCTAGAGTATAATAACATTCTAAACTAAATTGTAATTTTGCTTGGTATAAAGTAGATTCGCAAACACTCTAAATACGTAGCTAGGTCGAGAAGATTTAACATTGAGCCCTCTCCAAAGAATGGTGTATATTCCAACAACTTTGTCTTGGGTGGATGGTCACTCCTAGAAGGATACAATAGCTTTCCAAAAAGCACTATAAAGTGCTAAGGAATTGCTTTGTTAAAAGTGCTAAGAGACAAGCTAGGCCACTCATGCAAAAGAATAACAGAGATGGCATCCCAAGATAAAATTTGAATTTGATCCATAATGTCCTAGAAATTATGGTGCATCCAACATGATTATAAGCTTAACGCATCTCAAGAATTTGATCAACTACTATCACTCGTAATAACCCGTAAAAAATAGAAAAGATTTTGGGATGAATCCAAAGAGATTTATAAAAGCAGCCTATTTTTGGCGACTTCTTGCCCAATAGAGAAATCCGAAGAGAAAAAAAAAAAAAAAAATCTTAACATCTAAATTTTCCTTTCTTTTATCCCCTTCCTGCAAAGCAATCATTCCACTTGTCCTTTTAATAGAAAAATTATTACGTACGGACATATTGTGTACACTCACACGTCGAACGTAACTCTATATTTGGAGTCCGCACAAAATAAGTTCTCCTTTAAATGACTCTAAATCCATCCCACTCTAGGGGTACAAACGAGTCGAGTCGAGCTCGAGTAAGGGGGTGTTCGAGTCGAGCTCGAGTAAGGGGTGTTCAAGTCGAGCTCGAAAGATGAGCTCGAGCTCGATTCGTCTCACCAAACGAGTCAAGTCGAGCGGCTCGTCGAGCTCCTGCTCTAGCGGCGAAGCCCGCTCCCACTCTCGCTCCCATGGCGAAGCCCACTACCGGACCCGCTCTTGCGGCGAAGCTCGCTCCCACTCTCGTGGAGAATCCCGCTCCTCTTACGCGAGCTACTCTACGAGCTATCAAGTCGAGCAGCCGAGTGTTCGAGCACGAGCTAAATTCGCCATCAAGCTCGACTCGCGAGCTCGATAAGCTCGACTCGTCAAGTCCATTAACGAGTCGAGCCCAAAACGACTTAACTCGGTTGCACCCCTAGGCCCTATCTCACTCACACTCTAAGTGATCAGTAACTAAAATTTCCTCTCCTCTTTATCCAAACAGTCGTAATAACATGTCAACATGACGAAGTATGCCATTTTGATTTGGTAATTAATGCACATCTCACATCAATAAATCCAATGGTGATGACCATACCAAGTCATTCAACGCGACCAATTGGCAATTGCCACCATGTGCTCGCACTATTATTGTCTTGTTAAAAGCGGAAGCTACAATCCCCTGCAACAGTATTGCCATGGGAGAGCTCGTCGAAGATGGACGTGTGAGGGGCTTAATTGATATCTAAGCTAAAGAGATCAGAAAAGATTGAACGGACCACTGAGATACTAACATGAAAACCACTCTCTATGACTCAAACGACTTTTTTTATTACTTCAAATAACTTTTTAGGATAAAATAAATATAAGAAACAATAAAAAATCATCCAAAAAAAAATTTTTGACCCAAAGAGGGGAGTGATATTCCGTTAGGTTACCAAATGCATCCGGAAACTAATACCAAAACGTCACGTCATTAAAGTGCTTGATATAACGTACTCGATATTGCTCAGTATTTTCACTGGATGGAATAATTTTTACAAAGAGAGAGATCCACGCCAACTCAATCTGCAAATACACGTTAAAAAGTTTTTTTTTTTTTTTGGACATTTAGGCCATTTAAGGCAAACTCACACACACAATGCATACACATAGACTCGAACCTTGGACCTCTTAGTTGGAAGCCTAAGCTCTCAACTAATAGGCCAAAGAAAGTTGTGTTTTTTTTTTTTTTTTTTTAAGGGAGTGTGCAGACTACAGAGTCACATTTGTCCTCACTAATCTATACACGAACCCTTTTTCTTTATTTTAATCATTTGAAACCGATTTGAGATCTACGAAGTACTAATCCTCACTGCTCAACGATGCCCGTTCAGCTGTTTTTGTCTGATAACTACCTTTTTCTTTTTTGTTTTTTTTGTTTTAGATATATAAATAATAAATATCATTACAACATTAATTTAGCTAATGCCAGATTCTACATATATAATACCTAGTTAATTCTAAAAGACAAAATGCCACAAGGACCGTCCATTCCTGGACAGCCGTCCGACGACGAATCCAGAAATCATCTGGACCGTCCATTTAGCTTCCCTTCTTCAGATACGTACACCTTGCACTGGATCAAAGTTTTCCCCACCCTGAAACCGGGCGCCACGGTGAACGCAACAGGTAAACCTGACGGCGAGGTGGCCGGAAAATTCACCGGAGAAGAGGTGACGCTCTCCATATAAACCTCTGAGAAACGGCAGCCTCTCTTTACCTGGAAAATGGCTGCCTCCACCTCCGGTGCATAAGAGAAATAGAGGCGGTGAAGAAGCCAGACTCTCTTCGCCATTTCAGCGAACACTGCGAAGAACTCCTCCGAGTCCGGAAATCCTCGGCCGGAGCTTATGGCCGCCCTCCGACTAAGGTCCCCGAAGAAGGAAGCCTCCATCTTCGGGTGCACCAAGCTAAGATATTTCGTTCTAATGAACTTCCCTAGCTCCGCTCCTTTTGCCTCCACAAGCTTCCCCGAACTCAACTCGAGGAACTCCTGGAAGAATCTCCGGCGATCCAGCGACGACCGCCCATCCAACGAGATGCCGAAATCGCGATGCTGGAAGTCGGAAAAAATACACCGGCAGACGAAAGATTCGAAAGCGTGAGTCCAGTGCTCCGACTTACCTCTCACAACCGGTTGAATGACTCCGGCGGCGGTTTCCAAATCCCAACCGGCGTATTCCATCTCGCGCACCATCTGTTTGACGAAAGTCCTAACCGACTTGACAGCCAAGCGTAGAACGGAAATGAAGTGCTTCGGATCGGGTAAGGACTGATGGAGATTCTCAAGGGAAAGAGTACGGCGAGGGCGGAGGCGGAGCTTGGACTCCAGGGAACGGTTGAAGCGGGCGGAATCAAGGAGTTGGGCTTGAAGGAACTTGATCTCAGCGTCCTTATGCTGGAGAATGGACTCCAGCTTCCGGTTGGTGATTTGGTAAGTTTTGAGGAGGTTTCGCTGCTCCTGTAGCTGCGGCGATAGAAGTTGGGAGTCGACCGGCGACATGGCTTCTAATTGCTGCTTCTTGAGATAAGATTGTTTCAGGTTGGATAAGTGCTTGAGCTCGGAGACAACAGCCTGGTCTGATGCTTGAATGGTATCTGGATCGTATGGTGATTCGGCGACCTGGAGCTGAGCATAAGCAGCCTTAATGGCGGAAACGCCGGCGAATATGTTGGCCAGGAGGGACTCCATGTCTAGCTCATTTCTGCAGCTGCTACTGCTGCTGGTGCTGCCCGGTTCTTCCAGCTGAGGCTTGACCTTAGCTTTACCATCGGTGGAAATAAGGGAGTCTATGAACCCGGATTGGTATTCAGCGAGATTGGATTTAAGCTTCTGGTTGTCGTTGCCTTCATTGCGTACGCCGGAGTCAGTGGCAGCCCGCCGGAATCTAAGGATCTTCGTGACCGTCCTCGTTAATGCGCCGAGTCTAGCGGCCGGCGCTGATTTCTTGGTTTCCATTGTTGGTTCAGTTCTGTTGTAGGGAAGGCCGTAAAGATACGAGTTAATAAGGCGAGAGCTTGAGAAAGAAGGATTCCTGTTGTTCTCAGCTTTGAACTAAATAATTATACAATTAAAGTAAAAAAATAAAAATATTCTTACTATGCATAAAAAAAAAAATTATGCGTAGTATTATAATCATAATGTATGATATGCTCTCTACCGTTAGTGCTTTAATTAATATTAAATAAGCGGAAATTTTTGCCGGTCGCTGTTCGGTCCATTGGACTATGGAGATTGCGTACACAAATATAAAAGGACTACCTAAGTTGTATGAATACTAGGATCGATGACATTCTAAGATTAATTAGTTATAAATTAGTTCTGCAGGGGTTTGTTAAGATATTAGTTAACTGTTGACGTCAAATGAAATCAATTTTAATGTAAAAATAAGAGAGTATAAATAAAACATTTGTGATGTATTAAAATCAAAATAAATCTGATAATTTTCAAACTCATCCTCATATAATTTATATAACAATATTAAATTCATATTCGAAGTTTCTTATTAATCATCAAAGTCATAAAGAAAAACAAATAAAACAATGATTAATATAGACTTTAAAATTCTTAAATCTACTTTCAAATGAGTACAATATATAAATAAATAATTTTGAAGTCATCTAAAACTAAATCTAAATATTTTAAAATCTAGTCTAACAAAAGATTTGATGGAAAAAAAAATGGTTTACTATTTTCCAAACCCTAACATAACTAGTATTTATTAGCTCAACATCATTTTCACCAATAATTTAAATTGGTGAATTGCATCAATGCTGAAAGACAAAAAATTAAACAATGGAAGAAATAAATGGTCTCCATCACCTTTGTAATTTGCACTTGAAAAGATCTTATCCTTTATAATTTTTCATGCCTTCACAATTATCTATTTTTTATGTGTGATCTGAATCATGCACGAAACTACGTGTCAAATACATCTCATATCGAAGGAAGTTCGATTGAAATGATAACCTTAATTGCTTCTCTACAATATTTGCTTTTTGGGGAAAACCATATTGAATGGAATTGAGCTACTTCATTCTTTTGGTGAGGGAGAGATCAACTAAACTCTTTAATTTATTTTCTTATAGCCATTTATCTCTTTTTTTGTTTTGTTTTATGATTTAGAGAAGTGCTCAATGACAAAGTGTAGGCTTGTATTGAGTGCGAGTTCGAGTGAAATTAACTTAGACTTATTAAATATTTTTTTTATTCCCATATAAGCGTTACTAGAGAGGAATGACTCTTTCAAATAAGATGCACTTATAAACTTTGTTGGAGATTAAGATAAGTTCCTAAGATATGGGGCTGACGATGAACTCATTGTTAGCTACACCAAAACTAACACCAAAACTTAGATATATGTTTTATTACGTTTTACAGTAGCGATGTATACAACTTGATGTTTTTCTATAAATACCTCTGTAACCTACTGCTTTAGGCATTCATCAATAATATTTCCTTCCTCATCTTCCGTTACTTACTTTCTCTCATTCTTGCGTTTATCAAGAATTCTACATGGTATCAGAAGTTCAGCTTAGCTGATCTTGGACGACATGGAAGACTCGTCTCCTTCCCCTCCAATCTCTACTTCCACGGCCGTGACAAGCTCCGACTCCTCTGGTCTTCCCTCTTCGCTCAAATTTGTTCTCGCCAATCTCAAGAATTTCGTGCATTCTCCCCTGTCTCCGGACAACTATCCGGTATGGCGCTCTCAGATCCTTAAAATCTTGCCTGCAAACAGTTTAGAATCCTTTCTTGATTCCACTGTCCCTATTCCGACCAAGAATGTCAACCTCTCCGATGGCCTTACTGCTACAAACCCTTCATATTCGAAATGGGTCTTTACCGACCAAAATCTTGCTGCGGCCATTTGTGCAACCATTTCCCCTCCTGTTCTCCCATACATTCTTAATCTTGAGACCACCTCGTCGATTTGGACTACCCTGGAAACACGTTTTCAATCTACAAATCGTTCTCGAGTCATTCAATTAAAGAATGAACTCCATAACATTTCTCTCAAAAATTCTACCATGATTCAATATCTCAATGAGGTTAAATCCATCGTTGACAAAATCGCTGCAGCTGGTTCCAATGTTGACACCGAAGACATTATCTTGTACATCCTTAATGGTCTTCCGGCAAACTACCAAGCCTTTAAAACTTCTATTCGCACTATGCTTACACCTCTGACTCTTGATCAGGTGTACCCGCTCCTTATAAGTGAAGAAATTAATATTGCCGCTGATGCTGCTCGCATTCCCTCTGCCGATGCTCAGATGGCTCTGTTCGCCTCTCGTGGCCGGGGTCGCCGGTCAAGAACCCGTTTCCCGTCTTCTAGCAATACTTCCACCAAAGATCAATCCAACAAGATCTCCACGACTTGCTAGATATGTTTGAAACGTGGTCACAATGCGACGGACTGTTGGCATAGATTAAATCCTCAGTACTTGCCGAAATCAACGTCTACTCCTACCACTGCTCTTCGTGCAAATTCATCTCAGAATCATACCGACTGGTATCTCGACTCAGGCACATCTTCTCACATGACGAATTCGCTTGAAAACCTTTCCATATCCACGCCTTACCGTGGATCCGATAGTATCACGATCGGTGATGGGAGTTCGGTTAGCATTGAAAATTCCGGGAAGGGATTGCTACCGACTCCCTCTCGTAAGCTTTCTCTCTCCCATATACTTCATTCTCCTTCCTTACAGTATAACTTATTATCTATTTCTAAACTAACTTGTGACAACAATTTGGCTATAATTTTTTATCCCCATGGTTTTTCTTTTAAGGATCTGACGACTAGCAAGATCATTTTACAAGGACCTTGCAGTGACGGACTTTACACCATTCGGACACCATCTACCGCTGTTACAAATCAGGCTCTACATTCTACTGTTCACGGCTCCGATCCTTGGCATGACCGTATGGGTCATCCTAGCAAACAGATTCTTGCTAGTATTGCTGCAAGAAATCAGCAACTTCATATAGGATTTAATTCAAATTCTTGTCATTGGTGTAATACAAATAAGTCTCATAAACTGCCTTTTACAATTTCTGTTTCTAGAAAAACCGCATCTCTTGATTTGATTCATTCTGATGTCTGGGGGCCTGCTCCTATGGCTTCTGTAACTGGTTATCTTTACTACGTAATCTTTGTTGACGACTATTCGCGCTTTACTTGGTTATTTCCCATGTTTCATAAATCTGATGTTTATAACAATTTTGTTGCTTTCAAAGCTCAAATAGAGAACTTAACTTCACGCAAAATTAAAAGCATTCGCACTGATGGAGGAGGTGAATATATGAGCAACAAATTCACTCAGTTCTTACAAACAAGCGGTATCAACCATCAGGTATCTTGCCCTCACACTCCGGAGCAAAACGGAGTGGCAGAAAGGAAACACAGGCATATCATTGAAACTACCCGTACAATCCTTCACAGGGCGTCTCTTCCGTATAAGTTCTGGCCGGATGCTGTCCTCACCTCGGTCTATCTTATAAATCGTATGCCGGCATCCACGACAAACAACCATTCTCCCTTTGAACTGTTGCACAACCAAAAGCCGGACTATAGTCACTTGCGTATCTTCGGATGTGCCTGCTATCCTCTCATCCCATCGTCTCAACAGCATAAACTTCAACAGACAGCGGATTGCTGCGTTTTGCTGGGATATTCGAACACTTACAAGGGTTACAAGTGTATTAATATCAATACTAATAAAATTATTATGTCTAGACATGTAAAGTTCGACGAACAATATTTTCCCTACCATTCTAACAAAGCAAATATACCTGTGCAGGAATCTAATATCAACCCATTACTCCTTATACCCACCTCAGCCTATTCGCAACCTTCAGCCGTCAACTCTACCCCCATAGTAGTTGCTCAACATACTGATGTATCCTCCACTCCTATTCAGACTCATCCCACTCCTGCATCGGCTACTATTTCAGAATCTGCTCCTATTCAGAACAATGTTCCATTGTAGCAACCTTCTCATCCAATGATTACCAGATTTCGGACCGGTTCTCTTAAACCAATTGTTCGTCTCAATCTGCTCCACACTAAAAGCACACCGGACCTGGCCCCTGATCCAACATCCTATCACGAGGCTATCAAACAAAGTGTCTGGAGATCAGCAATAGCATCTGAATTTTTAGCTCTTCAACAACAAGGAACCTGGACTTTAGTCCCTCCTCCGGCTAATTGTTCGGTCCTTGGATGTCGCTGGACCTATCGCACCAAAACACATTCAGACGGTTCCATCGCCAAACATAAAGCACGGTTGGTTGCTCAGGGGAATCACCAAGAATACGGACTTGACTTTACAGAGACATTTAGTCCGGTTGCTAAGCTTCCTACCATTCGGGTCCTTCTTGCCATTGCAATTCATTATAACGGGCCGGTACAGCAATTAGATGTTGCTAACGCATTTCTCCACGGCAAGCTTACCGAAACCGTATACATGCGGCAACCCAAAGGTTTTGAAGACTCCATGAACCCCGACTACGTTTGCCATCTTCAAAAAGCAATCTATGGGCTTCGTCAAGCTCCACGACAATGGTATAACACGTTTTCTTCTACTCTCGTCTCAATGGGTTTTGCTCATAGTACCGCCGACCCTTCCCTTCTCATTTTTCATGAAAATAGCATTCGCATATACCTGCTTATATATGTGGATGATATTCTCATAACCGGAAATAACACTCAAGCTATCACCAATATTCTAGCTAAACTAGGCAGCAAGTTTGCTATGAAAAATCTGGGTGAAGCCCATAATTTTCTGGGAATCCAAATTGATAGATCAGAGAACACGTTCTTTCTATCTCAACGGCTCTATGCTTTATCTATACTCAAAGCGGCGAATCTCTCCAACTGCAACAAACTCTCCAATCCAACCTGTACCAAGCTTCCACCGGACATACCGCCGGACCAGCAGCTCTCTGATCCCATTCTCTACCGCA